ACTCAACTTTGCACAAGATAAATGGCCTCCAAATAACTGTACATCCAATTCCAGTAAAATCAATCATCCTTTAATTGCACAAAGGGAGCTCTTTCTTTAAAGGCATCATGACTGGTGATAATGGTAGCTGCTACTTATTGGTTCCATATGTCTATGTACCAGATACGGCGGAGCAATTCACCCACCTTGTCACAACCCTCTGAGGGACCCAGCTCAGCTGGGATCTGAACTCCCATCTGTCTGACCCAAGTCCTGAGCCCTTAACCACACTGCACTGCCTCCTGAGGTATAAATAGCATCAATAATCTTTTATATTTGCAGAGTGCTTTGTGATTAACAAGGAGGTTTGTATTCATTACTGTCTGTTACTTCCTTCAATCCTCACAGCAGCCTCCGGGAGGCGGACCGTGATGGTCGTTCCCATTTTACAGATGAGGAAATGGGTTCATCAAGGTGTGATGACTTGTGTGATGTCCACAGCAATGAGTGTCTGAGTCAGGCGTGGGACCCAGTTCTCCCAACTCTAGATCCTGTTGCTCTCTTCCTTGGTTCACTTGGATCTGTGGTTGCTATGGAGAAGAGAGAAGGTCTAGCCCCCTTTATCGTCTGCCATTCTCCCTCTGCTGTTTAATTTCCCTCTCCGAAATCTGTCCCTTGTGTGCTGTGTCTCCCACTCTGCCCTCCCCGACTCCGTTCCTTGTAGCTGGGCTCCGTGCGCTTCCTTTGCCCGGCGTGGGTGTCCCACACAGTGGCATGCTTCTTATGGCCTCGCTGTCTTCATTTCTCCATGCAGACGTCAGCTCATCAGGGAGGTCTTCCCTGCCCAGCCTGTGTCAAAGAGCAGCCCCTGGCCCTCTCCATCTCTCTCCACTTAATTTATTTCTCTTTTTATCACTCACCACCACCTGGCCTATTTTATATTTACTTGCTTTTGAAAATCTGCCTTCCCCTCTTGAATGTAAGCTCCATGAGGGCAGGGATTTCGTCTCTTTTGTTTATTTACTGTAATCCACCTCTTGGCTTATACTTAATGGATGTCCAAAAACCGGACCCTGTGTGTAGGAAGGATATGGCGGGTCATGACCATCCCTGAGCTGTGTCCCTGGAGTTCTGCCCACTCCAGGATGAGCCCAGGAAATTTTGCAGGGTGTAAATGCTGCTGCTGGGTCCATATGTACCCGTTGTGCTCATCTGGCATGACCTCCTTCCCTCCCTCTTCCCCCTCCCATTGATGCTTTATAAATGTATTAGTGGCTGAATGATGTCACCGTAATGCATTTTGGGAATAGCCATGTGGTTTATACACACTTGAGTTGCTTTGAATGCAAACCTGACATCATACTGAAGGCAGCAGCGAACAACATATGCACAGTAAACAGGCAGAGACTGTCTTATTGATTAACAGATGAGGCCTCTATTATCGATCAAAGCTTGGCGAGGAAATTTATCACTTTTAATTTCAGGGCTGCCAAATATTTCTGCCTCTGAGCCAGCCATTACAGAGACAATTTAAAGGCACAAGCCTCCTCGGGAGGGAGGATTTCGTCTGTCTCACTCTGCTCGGCTGGTGTGTCTTTGCTCCTTGGCTCACTCTGGAGAGTTGTGGGGGGTCAGAGCCTGTCTGGGTGGTGATGGGAGGAGGACCGGGGCCTCGTGAGCGGGGACGAGCCACGGAGCCGGCGTCGGTGGTGTCCGTTTGTGACGAGGAGTCTGACCCAGACTCACTGAGGACAGGGGCCCTTCACACACTCAGCTTAGTTTCGTGACTTCTGCGAGGTGGGGACGCGGTGGGGCTTTGAAGGCAAGCGGCTGTGGTCAGGCTTGGGCCGCGCCAGCAGCCTCTGCTCGATCACGTGTGCCCTTGTTTTATCTTCATCTGCACTCATCTGATGGCACACATCCGGCCTTGATTCCCTACCTGCCCCCTTCCTTTCTCTCTGCTTCTCGGTCATTAAAGTGAGAAGGTGCTGCAGCCCATGGTGATGGCTGTTTTCTAAGAACCCGCCACACCACATCCCTTGCAAGCCGGCTGTGGCGTGGTGGCGAGCCACAGGGCACCCTGCCTGCCGGCCTGGGCGTCCCTCCTCGGCCCTCCGCTCCCCAGTTCTCCACTAGGGAGCCATGAGAAGGGGCAGAACCAAAGGAAGAGATGTAATTAAAATCAGATCCCTTACAGAGCCACAGAAAATCATTGATGGCTAATGATTTTGATGAGACATGGAGGAAGTTTCTGGTTGTAAGCGAGCCGTGGCTTCACCCGGCCTCGGCCTTCTCTGTTGGGGTCCCTTCTGCTCTTTGAGGTTCTTTCTGCATTTCCAGTGTAAATGAGTGAAAAGTGGTCCTGGCTGCCGTCTCTATGAACACACATTGCGACTGCTTTGCTGTCATCCCTGAAAGAAATTTTCTTGGCTCTTTCTTCAGAGCTCTGTAAGCCATGTGCCAGGTGCTTGGCGTGAGGACGCCCTGCAGCTGGAAGGGACACCCAGAGGTCATCATGGCATTCCCCCTGCCAACAGGAGAGATTCCACCCCAGCCACCAAAGACAAATGACTATATTTACTTTCAGAGTGACTTCATATCGTCCCTGGGTACTTCGCCACTCATTTATTCAGTCAGTCAGCTCATACTTACCGAGCACTTGCTAGAGCATATCCTGGACGTCAGTAGGAACGCAGGTGTCGGTGAGGTAGACCAGGCCAGCGCCCCTTGGGACCGCACAGTCTAGACCTACTCCGGACTCCTCATACTCTTCACTGGCAAGAACTGTTCATGGGTGTTTAAGTCTGTGCTGCTGGTACAGCTTGTATTTTGAGTTGTTTTTCAAACTTTTTAAAAGTAACAGAACCATTTTTCCAAATACAATTTCATACAAAACCCTGGCATGTAAAATGGGAAAATTGAATTTTTGTTTTTTTGAGTTGAGAGAAGGGAACCCAGACCCCATTGTGGGATGAAGTCTTATCCATGAAGCATCTTTGCAGATGGAACCCTAGGGAGGTTGAAGAGTACAGGGATTAAGAGTGAAGGTTCTGAAGTCAGGCTGTCTGGGTTTGAATCCACCTCTACTATTACCCGCTGGTAACATTGGGCAAACTACTTAACCTTTCTGAGCTTGAGTTTACTCATCTGCTAAATGGGGGTAATAGTGTATATGACAATTGGCTGCTGTTAGGATGAATGCTAAGATATGTATTAAACACTTAGCATCATACGCCTCAGGAAATCCGAGGTGCTTTGAAAATGGCACTGTGGGCTGCATATATGTGGCTCTTACGAGAGCCTCTAATGCAAAACTGAAACACAGGCATACTTAAAGAAGTGCTAAGACATGTTGAAAAGAACAAAACGCAGTGATGGGTTGTAAAGGACAGAGCAGCGAGGGGCTGGAGGGCTTAGTGTCCACAAACTCCAGTCTTGAGAATGGAATGGGATTGCAAGAGACAGAGGAGCAGGCCCGGGCAGTGCTTAAGCACAGAGGCTCAGGGCAGGTAGAGCAACAGCCAGAAAGGGCCAGTGAGGACAACATACTATGGTTGGGCAGCTAACTGGGACAGGTTATGGAAGACCTTGAAACCAAGTGAAGGGATTTAGAATCAGTACAAATCGTCAGCCATTGCATCTTCTTGAGTCAGGAAGTGTGAGGAGTCAAGTGTCCTTCAAGGAACCTGCATCTGTTGAGCGGATCAGAGGGTGGCTGGTGGTGTGGAAGCCATCCTTGAGTCTCGCAGTGTTCTGGGTGTGACACAGCAAGGGCCTGGACGAGGCAGTGGTTATCCAAATGCAGTGAAAGAGATGCATCTAGAAGACATCTTGAAGGGAAAATGCCAGGGCTTGTGACAGATGACCCCCTGGACCAGATAACATAGTAGAGCTTCGAAGATTATTAGCCAGGGATAAAAAGTACTATTTCATCTTGACATGGTGTCATTGTCACTTTGAGCCTTATAAATCATGGTTCTAAAAAAGTTTATTAAATCGAGTTGCACTGAATGAATTTTGTTTATTCCACAAATATGGGTAGTAATAGGCTCCCACCGTGTGCCAGACAGACGCAGCTGTGTGCGAGAGAACATGGTCCCTCCATTGGGGAACTTACCGTGTGGTGGGAGAGAGAGACAGGTCCATGGGCATTTATACTGGAGCGTGGCCAGGGCCAAGAGCTGGAACATACAGGATGCTGTGGGAACGTAAAGAAGGGTCGCCTCCCCCAGCCTTGGGGCACGGGTATCGTAGCTGACGCACAAATGATGACTAAGAGCTCCAGCTATCCCACAGTGGCCAGGGGAGCAGGGGAGGAATGTCAGAGGCAGAGGATGTGCAGAGACCTGGCAGTGAGGGAGAACACGGCTCCTCCAGGGAGCTTGCGGAGTTCAGCGTGGCTGGGGAGAAGGGAGCAGGGTGAGGTGTGAGAGATGAAGCAGAAAGGATGAGCACACCAAGACGTGCTTTGCGAGTCCTGGTAAGGAGATGGGACTTCATTCTTCAGGCACTGGAGAGCCATTCGGGGGTGTTAAGTGGTCAGCTGCAGGCAGCGGGTGGGGTAGACAGTGAGTTTAGTCTGGGACATACGGAGTCGGAGGTCCCTGTGGATAGCCAGGTAGAGCCAGGTCAGCAATTCCCACTTTCCCCTGAAGTATTATTTAGGCAGCAGGGCATGGTTCCCCTATCTGTCCCTCGCCTGGAGCTAGCTCTCTGACCCCCCTTCTCAGGACATCTCACCCATACCCCATCTCTGTTTATCTTGGTCGTTCTCATTGTGTTCCTTCTCTCTGGGAGATCCCTGGACGAGGGCATTTGGAACTCAGTCGGGGGGAGGGGGTGGTCATCTTTTGGAGGAGGGCCTGAGCTGACCTCTGGGGCCATCGATTATCCCTCACTCAGGATCTTCGCAGGTGTCCAGCCCGCTCCCGAGTGTCCCCCTGTGCAATTCTGGCCCAGTACTCCCACCCCCGCCCCAATGAACCATCGCTCTAGTGGTAACCGCCTCTCCTTTCTTTTAGCGGGTGCCAAAGCCTTCGTCTGTGATCAGTGCGGTGCCCAGTTTTCGAAGGAGGATGCCCTGGAGACACACAGGCAGACCCATACAGGTGAGCTGACCTCGACTCTCCTTCTCCAGGTTTGGCACAGTGTGATAGCACGTGGATGCGAACTAGCTGGGTGGTGCCCCCTTTTAACAAACACGATACCAGATCATTTCCTAGGGGAGCCGTGAGCAGGAATGGGCTTCTGCCACATTCGGCTACTGCTGCCTGTGGGGTGGCTGGGTAAGAATTCACAAGTATGACATCGCCCCGTAAGAACAGCTGTCCTGGATTAGACCAAGATCTCTGTCTCTAACAGAACACTGAAATCCCATCTTCGTGGAGGCATTGAGTATGCTCCTATTAAGGCCTTAGAAAGTGTGTGATGTTATCTAAGCATCCCCTTCCCTTGGTCAGGAAATCTCTCGCACCCCATCTGATGAAACCCTCGTGTGGCCAGAATGGGCTGGGCCTCCCTCTGCAAGAGCTGAGGCACTGCCTAAAAGAAGTCAGTCTGTGCACCAGGATGCATTCAAACAACATTAATTAACAATATTATAGCTTTATTTGACTTCAAAGTGTTGATTTCACAGCACCAAAGTCCTCTCATTATTATAATCAGCATCGTCGTCATCATCACAACAGCCTACACTTACTGAGTGGCCCCCATGTGCTGGCCACTGTTTTCAGTGCTCACCTGATCCTACTCGGCCAGTCTTACAGTAACCCTGTAAGGTAGGAAGATAGCCCCATGTCACGGGCGAGGAAACCGAGGCTTGAAGGAGAGAAAGTGATTTTCCAGAGTGAATAGAGGGGACAGGTGTGGTAGAGCCTTGTAGTTCAGAACTTAGACTGCCTGGGTTAACCTTGACTCTGCCACTTCCCATTTGTAGGGCCGTGGATAAATTATTTAAACTCTCTTAGGTTAGGTTTCTCGTCTGTTAGAAAAGTAGAGTAATAATAGGATCTACCTCATAGCATAGGGTTGCTGTGGAAATTCAATAAGGTATTTTATTTGAAGTGCTTCATGGAGTATTTGACTCATAGTAAGCATTCAATAAATAGTTGTGGCTATATTTAATTTACTAGCTATTTATTGAGGTCCTACAATGTGCCTGGCACTGTTTGGGCATTTAAGATCTAGTAATGTATGAGATAGACAACATTCCTGCCCCTCTTCATGAAACTGAGATTCTAACTGGGAAACAATATCGGCAAATAAGTGTATGATATGATGTCAAGTTATACATAATATTAATAAGTGCCACTAAGTAAAAATAAAGCAGGATGAGGGGTAGAGAATGATAGAGAGAGAAGTAATGTTGTGGTCAAATGCCCAGGGAAGACCTCACTTTGAGAAGGTGATGTCTAAGCAGAGTCTTAAAGCGAGGGAGGTTTCTAGGAAGACTGTCTAAGCAGAGGGAATAAGCACGTGCAAAAGCCCCGAGGCTGAGTCTAGCCTGACACATTTAAGGACCAGCATGCAGAGCAGTGTGGCCTGAGAGGCCAGTGACATGCAGAGAGGGAGGGCAGGGGGATGAGAGCAGGATCAGATGGGTCTCTCGACCCTAGAAAGGCATCCAGATTTTATTCTGCAAGTGCTAAGAATCCTTTGGAGGGAGAGAAAATATTTGCAAATCATATGTCTGATAAGGAACTTATTACTAGAAATAAAAAGAGCTCTTACAATTGAAAAAAATTACAAATAATCAAAGAATGAGCAAAGGATCTAAACAGACCTGTCTCCAAAGATAGGCAACTAGCCAGTGAGCACACGAAAAGATACTCAACGCCGTTAGCCTTCAGGGAGATGCGAATCAAAACCACAATGAGATACTACACACCACTAAAATGTGGTTGTAATAAAAAGTACAGATAGTAGCAAGTGTTATCAAGGATGTGGAAGAATCAGAACCCTCATACTCTACTGGTGGGAATGTCAAGTGGTACAGCCACTTTGGAAAACAGTCTGGCAGTTCCTCAGAAGGTTAAACACAGAGTTATCATGTGACACAGCAGTTTCTGTCCTAGGCATATACCCAAGAGATTAAAAATGTGTCCACACAAAAACTGGTACATGAATGTTTATGGCAGCATTATTCATACTAGCTAAAAAATGGAAACAACCCAGTGTATTCAGCACAGTAACATGCTGGGCGGGTGTGTAGCCTAGGAGCCATAGGCTGCACCATGTAGTCCAGGAGTGTAGTAGGCTGCACCATGGAGGTTTGTGTCAGGACACTCTGTGCTGTGGCCTAGAGAAGCTCCCCACTAGGAATGGAGAGCTGGGACTTGGCCCAACTCCAACATGAGTCCTCTTTCCACTGCTCCCCGCTGCCTGCACATTGAGTGTGTCCATGGGTGCATGGACTGAACGGTTCAGGGTGAGCCTGTTTAGAGATCATTCAGCTCATGGCCCTGTCCCGAGCAAGGCCCTTTTGTAGCCCTGTGACCAATTTAACAAGACAAAAACAACCAAAGAACCAATTCCTCGAAAAAAACCCCAAAACCAAAACAAAAAACAACGGAAAAAAAAAAAAGCAACCAAGCGCAAAAACAAGGTTAACAAAAAAAAAAAAAAAAAAAAAATTAAAAAAAACCAACCAAAACCAAAAAAAAAAAATTAAAAAAAAAGGGAAAAAAATAGTCCATTGGAGGGTTTTGAGCGGGAAAATGACATTAAACGATTTATGTGTTTAAAAGGTTACTCTGGCTCCTGTGTTGAGAATTGACCACGGGGAGTTTCAGCTATCAGTTGCCGCGTAACAGCCCACTCCAACAGTAGCTTAAAACAACAAAGTGTTATTTTCTCTGACAGTCCTGTGGGTTGACTGGGCTCAGCTGGGCGGTTTTCATTTGGGGTCGCTCATGTGGTGGTCATCGAGTAGTGGCTGGGGCTGGTGTCATCTGAAGACTGAACTGGGCTAGATGTCCAAAGTGGCTTCTTCATTCCAATATCTGACTCTCGGTGTATGGCCTGCCTCTGCAGCAGAATAGCCTGCACTTGATACATGACAGCTCAGGGCTTCAAGAGTCAGGAAGCAGAAACTGCCAGCCCTCTGAAAAGCTAGGCTGGAAACACACAGCATTCCTTCCACCATGTTTTATTGCTCACATAGTCACAGGCCAGCCACAGATTGAAGATAGTGGAAGGCTAGATTCCCTTTCTTAGTGGGGAGTGACAGAAACCTACGGGGAAAGAGGATTGATGGCAGCCATCTTTGGAGACAAGCTACCACAGGAGACTGGCGTGGAAGAAGGAAGACCAGTCAGCTGCTGTTATAATTATTGTCATCAATATTTATAAGTTCTTGTCCTTCCTCTCAAAACCTGCCTCTGCTCAGCGGAAAACATGCCTCCTAACGGTGGTATCAGGGGATTTGGCCTGGTGCTGCCCTGTTCTGCCGTAGTGGGAGGAGAGCGTTACAGGTGAGCTGTCATTACAGTCGACATCTCCCCTGCTCGGTTATAGAGAAGGTGACTGGGCTAGGTTATTTTCCCCAAGTTCGAGATTTTGTTGCCATGAAAGTCAGGGGAAGACCAGGTCTCCCGGGGTCCCAGCCATTTCCTTACTGCCAGGCCACATATAACTGAGAATCCCACTCTGAGAATTCTAATCTGGAGGGAAGAAGACACTGAGCCATGAGGCAGCTTTGTGGAGCAGCTTAACTCTGTCCATCCGGATTAAATGTGCAGCAGCAGGGAGCACGCTGCCCTCTCAGCCAGGGACAGGGGAAAAAGCTGAGTCCCTGAGGGATGAGCAGCCGGGCTGTTCCCAGGCCAACCCCAGACATGGCTGGAGCACCTCTTCTGTGGCTGGTATGCACTGGGGATGCAGGGTGACCAACACAGGCACGTGCCTTGTTCTTGAAAAAAGCTGGGGATGGTGGTCTGGGTCCTTTGCCTTTCCCCAGAGACCTTGTGGATGGGGCTCCTCTGCCGGAGGAGGAGGAGGCTTCACCAAGAGAGGTCAGCTACCTAGTGCCCCCTACTGATATTGAAGTAAAAAGTGGCTGGTGCTTGCTCAGTAAACATTGAGTAAACTGAGCTCTGGAAAGGGTGAGGAATGGAGAAAATGTATCCAAATTAGGGACAAGAGACCAAGGTGGATGCTTTGAGAGAGGCTCCCTGCCAGCCTGAGTGCGGGCTAAAGGCAAGCGAAGAGCATCAGCTGCCTCCTCGCATGGGCCAGGCGCTGTGCAGATGCACCCTCAGGATAGGGCTGGCAAGAGGTGGCCTGTGTGATACTAGTGACTCGTTCTGACACGTGGCAGGGCTCGTTCATCCCTCAGAGCTCTGCTTCCTGCTGAACCCAGGTGGCCTCTGAGCTCCCCTAACAATCAGTGGAAGAACACAATCTGAAATCTATTGGCCATCTCTGTTCTGGGAATGGGGACCCAGGAGGAAGGGAGAGCCCTGATTATGGGGAATGCTGAAAACACCACCAGCTATTGGAGTGAGAAAAGCCAAGTGGGGTGTCAGGTATCATCAGGGAGCCGGCAGGGGAGCAGGGAGAGCTCTGAAAAGGAGAAGGAATGGAGGCCCTGGGGAGAGTAAACATAATGCTAATGCCACTTGATATGTTTGCTACCTTAGTTTATAAAACATTTCTCTCTGTTATACCCATTCAACAGATGAGAAAATGGAGGCCTAGAAAGTACCCTCTAGGAAGTGGAAGGCTGGAACTTGACCCAACTCCAGCTCAAGTGCTCTCTTCCACTGCTCCCCAGCATCCTGCGTGTTGACCAAGTGCTGTCTATGGGCCGTGGACTGAACAGTTCAGATGAGCCTGCTTAGAGACCAGTTAGCTCATGGCCCCATCCTGGGCAGGGCTCTTTTGGATGCCTGTGACCCATTTAACTAAGAAGCCCCAATACCCTGATGCCCACAGCCTCCTCCTGGGGTAGGATACAATTTCCCCGAGTCAGATTGGGTCTGGGAGTTTCACGCCCAAGGCTGCCATGCAGGGAGTCAATGGAGCTCACACGTGGCATTGCACAGGCTGGATGATTATGGTTTCTTACAGGTGTTCTTGAAACTGAAAAATGAATTTAATAGAAAGTATT